GCACATTTGCTTTTACCTTTGAAGCTTCTATGCTCCAGTTTCTTGCTTCTTCTCTCACATCCTGCCCACATACTGCCTGACCATAAGAAGGGAAAAATGTGACGGAACACCTGAAAACAAGTGTTTTCCTCACAAGTCTCTGGGCACTCGCTGAAAATCAGGTCTTCCACACTTTCTAATCCAGAGAAGATTCTACAAAGAGTCTTTATCTTACTGAAAAATGTGTTGAATTTAAATCAATCTGATTGAGCCACTGGGTTTAGGTCTGTTATGCTAAAAATAAATCCACTAGATGTCGCTGTGTCTCTAAGTAGGAGGCCCTTTTCAGTTTTCCTCCTTACAGGAAGTTAAAAACAAAAAGGTCACTCCAGACATGAGGATATAAATATTATAGGTTCAGAGGTTAACAGAATTATGTAATATGATACAACAACAAAAAGTCTAATAAGGGTTAAATTATTTTCTAAAAACATGCTCGATTTATGGTGAAGGTAATGGCAAACCATGCTAATGTAATTAAAATTACTATTTGCTACAAAATAAAGAACTCATTCACTTCTGTTCATATGATACAGTTAATGTTATTCCAATAGGATGAAATAATTACATTGAAAATTTTTTAAATGTGTAAAGACCTGCTCGACCAAATGGTTGAATTGTCCTTTAGTGATAAAGGTAGGGATGCTAAAATAATACATTTACAATTTTTATAAGATAAAAGAGGGTCCGTAAAAAAAAAGAAAAAGAAAGAAAGAAAACACTGATTGTGTATATTTTTACACAAAACATTTCTTTTTTTCTTGGTGAGGACATTAAAGGGTTAACACACCAAAGGTAGTTTCAACAAAGACAGAATATGTGTAGAGCATTGAATCACTTGGCACAGCTCACAGTGGAGATTTTGGTTAGTGAAACACAGATGTAACTAATACCATTAATAATGGGCTGTATTCCATTTAGCCTTGAGTTTCAGGTCACTGCGTTTCTGTGCCATTTTGGCTCTCGTCACACACAACCACACACACACACACACCACACACCCACACACACCACACACAACACACACCCGTTACACCTAAATGCAACAGAGTCATCATTAACATTATTGATTGCACTGTGTTTTTTCCACCATGTGAATATCCACACTGAGCAGGGTCTATTTTTCTTTTTTCACCATACATGTAGGTGTGCTGTCCAAGTCTTATTTACCCACATGGATTCCCATTTAAATTAGCACAGCAACCTATTGAGAAAGAATGACGAAAGTAACCTACTGCTTGGAAAGGGGGCACATGCTGCCTACCCCCAACATCATAGAAATCTACTGTACTCTCTATGTTAACACCCTATTGCAGACACTTGCCAGCACAAAACAAAACTTCAAGTGGCTGTAGAGGATGTGACCACTTATGAAGAGTACAAACAAACTGGACACTACTCGGCACTGTGCGTAGGAGGAAAGTAGGTAAATAAAATAAAAAAAACTGCAGAGGAAGCTGTATGCTTCATGAATATATTTTGACCTGTCAATCAACTGTCAGTTGCAGCAAACATTGCATGATTGTTAGTAAGAAATAATATACATTTTTCCATATTGGTGTTGTTGTTGGTGTGTTCCTGTTAGGTATCGTATGCAACTGTATGTTGAAACTACTCTGCATCTCTTTAACCCTGGAACTAGCAGGAAAACTCCAAAAGTAGTCAAACACATTCATTGTACTGATGTAAGGGAATTCAACCTCAAAATATGACAGAAATGGTTGCCAGACCTTATAATAATTCTGAGTGGAGCATTTGGCTGTTCAAGTTTAAGACAAGACATCACCTCCTCCATGCAGCGCTTGTGTGATGGTGGCATAACTTTCTTCCAGTTAAGTAGTATCAGGTGTCTAGCAAGCAAGTTAAAGAATGCTATAGCCTCTGCCTGGTTGTTTGTTATTGGCATTTCCTGTGGGATTACACGTATATGAAAAAGTATTAAATATGCCGGTCCAAAATGAGGCCAGTTTGGGGCATAACCAGCTGGGTCTCAACTGATGCAGGTTGGGTCTAGACCAGGGTTTAACTTTGCCAGATTACTCATAGATAAATGTAGCCTATGGAAAACCTTAAACTCACACCGTCTGAGGCGCTCCGTTCAAGTGTCTAAAAACAGAATGAATTAATATTTGACTCTCTGAATATATAACTCTCTGAATATATAACCAACTGGATCATTCATCTATCCAGGTACTCTGTGGGGTTGTTAGAGAGAAGTATGTCTTGACGTTACTACGTACCTGCAAATATCTAAAGAAACCTGACTGAGGAATATTAAAGTCCTTCTTTAACTGTTCAAGGGACATAAAGTGCCCACCCTTAAAAAGATATTGTCCGCCCAATAGTAATACAAATAGTTAGGTAAAGACAGACCCAAGTAAGTAAAGCAATCCTTAGAATTAGAATTTTATAATCACAGCATAGTAGGTTAACCGGCGATAAGGCTCACACATCAATGAATCTTTATTCTTTTTGAGTAATATTGAGATATTGGCCTGTGTCAGAGTTCGGGGAGAGGGGAGTTTAGCCAGAACCTCTTTAAATTCCTTTGATAAGAGTGGCAGTAATTTTGGAGCACATTTTTTTTTAAGAATTCGACTGGGAATCCATCAGGACCTGGTGCCTTTCCGGACTTAATTTTTTTAAATTGCAATCTCTGTTAAAGTTGTAGTTACACTTGAGGCCAACTTAAACTTTGCTTTTCTGTGAACTAATTTGCTTTTGTTTGTGCCTCAGGATCATCACCCGCCTGCCAGTCTTCCTGCTCGTCTGTCCGCCTGCCAGCAATCTCCTGCCAGCCATGCTTCCCCTCATTCACTCCCACTCACACCAGCCACAATCCTCCATTACCATCATTACCCTCTACTGCCACTAGATTCTCTTTCCCTGCCATCAGCGCCCTCATCCCAATCCACTTTTACAAAAAAACTCTTTCCTTGGCAACACAACTCTGTGCTGTGTCCCTCACTCACTGATCATAACACTCCCAGATTCATCTTCATGAATGCAGCATGAGATTCCTTCTGTGTCTGCCTGTTATGTTGCTTATTTGTAAATGCCATCTAAACTATCATGAACATTAACTTTACAGTATGTACTTTCTGACAGGACCTTAAAAGGATAGCATAGAGCCAAAACAATTTCATAACAAATAACGTGATATTTTTATCATCCACTGATAATGCCATCTCCACTGCCTTCCACTCAGTATTCACACACCCTGAAAATAACAACACCTACATCAGAATGCTGTTTGTTGATTTCAGCTCAGCATTCAACACATTCAGTCTCCCCCATGAAACTGATCGGCACACTTAGCACTCTGGGCTTGAGTACCACACTGGATATTGGACTTCTTCACACAGACATACCACACGACAGACGGTTCGGATTGGATGTTACACCTCCTCCACTCTAGTGCTTAACACCGGAGCCCCTTAGGGCTGTGTGTTCAACCCCCCTCCTGTTCACACTGCACACCCATGACTGCATCCCCCGACATGGAGTTTGCAGATAAAAACCACCATCATCGGTCAGATTTCAAACAATGATGAGATTTCAGGAAATCAACAATTTGGTGCACAGAAAACAACCTACTGCTCAAAAGTCTGCAAAACCAAGGAGCTGATTGTTGATTTTAGGAAAAAGAAGGCCAACTCCCCTGTTTACATGAGTGGAGCAGGTGAATAGTTACAGCAGATCCTATCGTAACTGTTTGGTAACCGTGGTAATTAGAGTTAAGAAAAAAGCCAGAACAATTCCTAAATCAATGTAACTATCCTAACTTAAGTTAGGATTTGCTTCTATAATACCAAATTGGGGAAAGTCATATCTTACAGGACTTAAAGGACAGTGTGTAGGATTTAGTGGAAGTCAGCAGGGTAGGTGCAGATTGTAACTCACTGTCTTCACCCCCCCTTTCAAGAGAGAAACTACACTAGCTGCAAAACGCGCGAAACATGCCATGTTTGGCATGACACTACACTACACCTGCGGTGCCTGTAGATAAAAACATTCATTCTAAGGTAACAAATACTAAACTAACTTCTTGTTGAATCTTGTTCTTGTCCCTACAGTGTAATGTTTGAATGCTGTATGTGCAGA